CACCCTTGAATTCGGTGGTAACATCTGTATCCATATGCTGAAGGATAATAGTCTTGGCCTCTCCTCCAGTACACTTGAAGTACGCCTTTACCTGGGAGTCTCCAGCGCAGAAGTTACCAGAGAACTCCTCAATAAAAAGCTTCATGTCCATCTTCCAAGCATCGTACTCAATTTCTCCATTGTGGTCGGTAAAGAGGAGGCGGGGATAGCGAATCTTGTGAGAATCGACAGGCTTGACAGAATTGTCAATCTTTGGGAGTTAGTGATCAACAGCCAGTTGTAGGTCTGCAGTAAGTGCGCGAGACTTTCTAGCAGCATCTTCGGTAGCTTCGACGGCGAGAGCAGAAGCAACTGCAGTCTTGAGCATCTCGTTGATTGCCGCCTACTGGCTGGTAGAGAATGCTTGGTCCACCATTGTGTGTTCGTCTTCCTCCTTGATTGTGTCACTCTCAATAGTGCTCAATATGTTCTCCTCCACTGGCGCAGTATTGCCTTTCTTCTTCTTTTCCTCCGCGGGGTATCCAAATCGGGCTGGTGTAGAGAGCTCTCGATTGCTTCGGCGCGGTTGCATATGGGAGGGACCGCTCTTCGTGTGTGTAGTATTGAGACAAATGCGCGTAGGTAGGGAGGGGTTTGCAGAGGTCGAGATTGGTAGTTGAGGATGCGCGCACGAGGCTGAGGGCGAGGCTGAAGCGCGAATCCGTGTCGCAAAGTCGCAAAGTTTGAGGTATCGTATCGAAAAGGTGATGCTGATAGAGAGAGGGAGTTCAGCTTTCTCTGAGACTGTCTGCAATCGAGATATGAGGCAGAAGGCACCTGTAATCATACAGGTAAGGCGGGAGTCGTACCAAAAAGGTGGTGCCGACGTCGAATTTGTTCCGAGTGGATATTACTGCTTCCCAGCGAGGTGATGGTCTTTTATTATGTTACGGCACGTCAAGGAGGTTGTATAAGTTATTATATTGCTATCAAGAGGTAAGCTTGTAAAGGCAATAAAAGACGAAGAGAGGAGGTAGCTACTCTCGACCCTCTCTAAGATATCTCCATCGGCTGTGCTCAGTCATCCAACGTGATGCCAAGGCGCGCTAACCCGTATCCCCACATGCACGCAATACGGCTCTCACGGATCGTGACAACTACTTCAGACGCGGTATTTCCTATGCTGAGGATCGCAATATCGTCAGCGTACCCGAACTTTGTATTCGTATTCTCGTCTTGCAATAGTATTGCAATGTATAATAAGAATAGGAGAGGTGATAGCAGTGACCCTTGTGGGACTCCACACTCGGTGACTTTATCCCGCGTCGTTCCATTACGGTACCGCACTCTTATCCTTCGCTGGGTTAGAAAGGACTCTACCCACAGGCAAAGTATCCTTGGCTATCCCTGATTCCGTATCCGATAGATCAGCCGTTTGTGCAGAACTGCATCAAACGCTCCTTGTACATCCATAGTAACCATGGCTGTTACCTTATTGTTTCGCATTGTAGCCTCTGCGTCATGTATGACACAGAAAACTAGGTCGACTGCTTAGAGTCCAGCAAGTGCGCCAAACAGCTTTTGAGGAACGACTCAGTGGTCTAGCCTACTTGTGGCCTGCAAAGATCCTTCAATAGTCATATGGTCCGATGTGCAGTTGTATCTACTTGATACCGATGCCTCAGCAAAGGTGTTGCTCCACACTAGGTCGAGCACGTTCCCATCTTGATGCGTGGGTACGCCGGCTTGAGTTACTAGCTGCATGTCTTGCGCCAATGCCCAGTCCATGATCTGGTCGCCGTTGCCATATTGTCGAGTTGCCTGAGGTTGCCAATGTCTCGAAACCGCGTTGAAGTCTTCCCCGACTACTGTAAGGCCTTGGGGCACCCATTGGAGTATGGGTTCTAAGGTCCCACTTGGCCCGGGTGCAAGGTATACGTTCACAAAAGTGATGCCTGATACTTGTACAAAGCAGTAGCCAAAGTTTGTCTAGTGAGGCCCGTGAATATTTGCGAGGCTGTAGGATCTTTACGGGTAAAAGTGATTGCTCGTGGTCGACCTACTATTTCCCTGATGGGCTTATGGCTGTTAAAGCCCGAATAATAATTCGTTATATAATCCCCCTCTTTCTGCAGTGTCCATGGTTCTTGAACCATGACAACGTGCGCTCCCGCATCCCATGCCAGTTGTAACGCTATATCCATATTTTTCCCGCCCTTTCCTACGTTCACTTGGTGAAATAGAAGGACATTTTGTTGCTCGGTTTTATTTTGAGTTACAGGTGTATTCCTCATGAATTTTTCATTGTTTTTTCCGGGATACTGATGACCTCTACGGCCTTTCCCTTATTGTCAGACGCGGCTATCGCTGCGTAGAAGTCTCTATGGCCGCGCTCTCGAATAACTCGTAGCTCTGCTGGCGTACGAGGGACAGCTGCGCCATTCTGCCTTCTAGGACGAGCCATGCAGTTAAGGTCTGTTGAGTCATGTGGTCCTGCGCAATTAGAGCATTTAGGTACTTTAACAATGCATTCATTTGTTTCATGTATTCCGGTACAGCGGCCACATCGCTGTCCTTTGGCACATGCTCTTGTTGCATAAAAATCCCAGCAGCGTTGGCATTGCTCTATGGGGCGTTTTCACGTAAAAGGCGTGGCTCGTCCGCTTTCATCAAATAATCTGAACTTGATGGATTCCGGTTTTTGTTTAAAGTGGATGACCCAGTTTGTGGAGTACTGTCCCAGTCTTGCTTCACCTTGGCGAACCTGCACGGGTTTTACACCACATACAGACTGACACTCGCCTTCCATCATTTCCTTCGTCACAGGTATGCTACCCTCTAGTGTCCTTATATAGAGTGGCACATGTAGGACCATGACAGAAGTCCAATCTGAGGCTGCCTCGATAGTGATGATTTCTTGTTGGAAGGACTGCCCAACTCCAAGAGTTGTTTCTCTAAGTGCATCTGAAACGCATTCAATTGCCAAGCCTGATCTAGCTTGGTGGATGTTGTTGATGGCTGAAATAGCTATTCCAGCTCGCTCGGTGATTATTTTCTTGATTGTGACTGGTAATAGCCTTCGCCTGTCATGATCTTGTCCTAGTCAAAGAAAGAGTCCTTTATCTTCTTTCGGGGGCTCCTGTCCGGCTAGTCTTGTCTGCACAGCCAGTCTTCGTTTTACCATATTTGCTGGCGGTTATGGGAGCTCGGCTGCTTTTTGGGCTACTGTGGCCCACGAAGAAGTCTCCTTAGGCTTTCTTAGCAGCTCATGAAGAAGTGTGTCACCCTAGGTATAGAAGTTTTTAACCATGTAATTTCCGGAGATGAGTTCATGCCTTGAAGAATCGCGGCACTGGTGTTACCTATCGCGAACGCTGCCACGATGTTTAAAATATTTTCAATGAAAGGCGCGATTAAGGCCGCGCCTTCGGTTCGTGCCTTGGATTTCGCCCAGGCGTCGATGTTTTGCAGAAAATCCTGAGCTAGGCTCATTCGCTGCTTTCTTTGGCGTTCCGATTGCTCCATGGCGGCAGCAATCCCAAGAAGGCTCGGGTGTAAATGGTCGCCTGGGTCGATTGACGCCGAGGACGACGGCTGGTTGTACGCAGCCATGATGCAGCTTGATCTCTCGGGTTTGGGTACGGGGATAAATATACTGGTACGCGTGTATGGGATGGAAGAATTGATGAAAGTGACGATGATGATGCGGCATTCAAGTGCTGTTGTTGTTGCTGATGTTGTTTTATGAAGTTCCTAAGCTAAAGCTCTACGTCCATCTATGGGTACAGTACCGGGGCTTTCAAGTGTGTGTGTTTATTGTCCTACTTGATTCACAGACTATCAAGCATATTGGTCTCCTATCTGGCCGGGCCATGGCTTTTAAGGCTTCAGGACGGAGACCAGCAGATAGATCAAGGATTTGTTACAATGAAATGAAAGGGAAGCAAATCAGATTAGGCGTCGATGGGCGACTTTATGATACCTCTAACGAAGGAAATAACCCCTACATAATCGAGTAATTTCTTGAATGAGGTTTGTTAAAGATTTAATCTGTCCATAACTCTGAGCTTGATGATGGCCAGCAAGACGAAGAATATCATGACCTATCAGTTAAGATAAAAGGGCGAAAGGGGCATTAATTAGAAGATAGGACCGATATAGTGAGGGTTGATTAGCCCAGAGTAGGTATGGGGATTATGAATGTAGTCGGAAACATCATCCTATTAAAGGAGTCAAGTGCGCAATATATATATATATACACGTATCCTATCCCTGTCCATAATTACCGAACCCCGCACTGACATAAACACCATTAACCTCTGCTATCCATCGCAATCCTGAGTATCAATATGAGTTACTGCTATATTGTATGTTTGTACGGGTCGATATCAAGATAGAAATGTTAACAAGGTTAAGAAGTGTCTCAAGAGATAGATTATATGCACAGAAGGTATCAAGGGCTTTAGCGCGTGTTTAATAAGTCCGAGAAAGAAATTGCGCTTCCGGGCACCACTAACGAGAACTCCACAAAATCGGACTCGGCATTATTGAATACATGAGTGAAGGCCTTGAGAGGGACGAAGTTTTTGCACTTTACTGTACTCAACCTGATCCAGTCTGGCCCAATCCGTACTCAAGGTTGACCAGGGGAGCATTGGCTGTCATTTACCTGCCAGGATAATTAACCTTTATAGTCACATACCTTCTGACACTATCCTAGCTAATCTTCAATAATACCTCAAGTAATCATATTTTCCTTCAATAGAGCTAGAATCTAGACCTACATCTAGATGTTACCCATTTATACGTCGTGCGTTGGAGCACAAGGTATTAGGATAAGAAAAATCCGAGCAATTTCCGCCGGATGATTTCGGATGGCTACTATCTATTTATATTTAATCCAAAATGCTCTCTGTTACCGCTTTATTCTGACTTACCTGAAATCTGCGAGCAAATAAAATCAGGGTAGCCTTATCTTTAGCTTGGTAAAAGCAGTAAATAGACGATTCTAACCAAATATCATGAAATTATTTTCGATCGTCAGTCTTATTCTCACGCTATCTGAGGGCAAATTAGCATTAGCAGTTCTGAAAAAATCACCAGCTTCCGCTGCAGGCGATTTTAAAAATCTCATACGACGCGGCCATGCAGCCTCTCGACCTGAATACCGACCATATACATCAGAATTCAAAATGAACTATATCGGATTTAGCTGTGACAGGAGGATATATTTGTTATCTTACATAGAGAATGTTGCCCGAACAGGTATGCATAATCTATTCAATGGGGAGCAGGATAAAGGTAGTGTGAAAATTGGCCTTGAACATACCAGCATCTATCACAAATTGTACAAAAACCAGAAAGAATCAGAGGATAAGCCCTATTTCATTCATCAAATTCCGGCAATTTGGTATGACGAAGAAGATGGTGCGTCTCTTTCACCCAGAAATCTGGTCACATAACTGCTAATTAAGATGAACAGTTGTGTCAGAACCTGACTTTGTCGTTTCTGCCACAGATGGTACTGTTATAAGTGTAATAACATTGAAGGAGGATGTAAATTATCACAAATGTATACCAATAAAAATGGAATCCCAGGAGAAACCGACATTGATAACCAGCAAGAGCACCCATTTCGATGGATGGGGAGTTTATGGAGAAGATTCGACTACGTGAAAGAAATTCTGTTACCTCTCCTTCAGCATCACCAAAACACATTCACGATGATAGTTGCAATCACAAGTCAGAATATACAGCCATCTCCTAAAAATATCCTTTAAAGGAGCTATAAACAATACTTTTAACAAATAAAAGTCAAAAGTCGGAAAACGCAGTAACAATTTATTCGGGTTTATCACCCAGGTTTAGTCTAGGTAATATGATCCCTTACGCCGTTCAAGACTAAAACAGCTGTCTCAAATTTTATAGGAGTCATTCGATTTTCTCGCGACGCCTTTTCATAGGACAACCAAGTCAGGTTTGCTTAAATAAGGTTTCTAAAACACCATCTAGATATATGTTCTTGTTTGGTTTTGTGTCTGTTGTGCTATTTGAGTCTATAACCATCTAACACATTGGTGTCGACGGCTAAAAATAACCACCGAAGAAGTTGGACAGGGAAATGTCTCGGGTTATAAATAGGGACTGTCCATACGTACGTGGGTTGTTTGTTTCGGTCAGTGCCTGCATTCTGTATTTAGAACTGCAGATTATTCTATTCCTAGCGCATGTCTATATTTAGAGATCAAGAGATCAAGTCAATCATGATCAGTGTATATAGTCCTAGAATTCCGGGAGAAATAGGAATCAAGTTGTTTTTACTGAGTTATCTTTTACTTTATTTACATACACTTCGCCTGTCACAGGTCAGGCTCTCAGTTACCTGACAATTGAGCACCTCTCTGACCTAGGCCATACCTTGTATAGTGCTCCTGTATTCTTTAGTTACGAACGAAATTCTCTGATGTATTTATTTATTTATCCATTTATGTCCTATTTAAGTTTCTAACTATGTAGGACGGACAATTTAAATAAAAAATTTCTTTTTCATTCTAATTGGGGTTAAATTCTCTAATGTAATACCCATGAAAAATGACCATTTAGCTCACTAGCTACCCGCAGAGTTCCATCTTATTTCCTACGGATAATTAAACTCAAAAAAGTTGTCAATAGAGGCTGCGTGCCCAGAGAATGTCACGGAATGTGGTCGTGATCTAATCGATGGAACGAAATATACGAAGTTTATTCTGATTTCCTAAAGTAATGATAACGCATGAATAACTACAATGCGGAATAAGAGCATATGGAAAGGAAAGATATTTTTACAGGGGTATGACTAAGCGGTCCCTAAGGCCATCATTATACATGAGCCGCACACTGTGAACGACAGCAGTTTGTGCACTAGATCCTGTAACAGAGAAATACTTGTCATACTGGAGGACTATTCTCAACACCTGTCAGTAGTGTCCCCTACGAACCTCCAGCTCTCACTGTAGAGTCTGCAGAGCCGAGATTGAGTAACAAAGTCCTCACTTCGACGAGGATTCCCAATCGCTTTCGCGGTCTGTATCGTCTTCGTCTCTCAACACATTCCCCTATCACCATTATCATGAAGCTAACCACGATCTGATCAGATGGTAGGGTCGGAGCCCTACTCATCACCAACCCTTGATCATGGAGGAAAAGCCATCCGATGAGTTTCCGGAGCGTACCCAGCACCCGATACGGAGACGGCGAATTGGATCAAGTCGGCCTCGATTGTTACAAAGAAGGGAGATATAGATGAATCTGCGCACCTCATGTGGCGCTGATATCTAGGCCTCGCCTGGCTGGGGCTGCAGGTTTTTTGAGACTTTTTCCCGCGCACGAAGTTTCCATAGCTGCCATTTTTATTTTTTTTGGGTATAAGGTTCCGTGGAAAAGGTGGCTGAATTCCACGGGTAAACACTGAGCTGAATGGCTATTCATCAAGTGGAATATATCAATGATCTTTCAAGTAACAAAAGAGGATAGGAGCACTGTACAAGGTGTGGCCTGGGTCAGAGAGGAGCCCAATGTGCTAGATAGTCATAGACTCAAGTAGTACATTAAACACACACGCACTTGTTATGTTCAGCTATGTAGTATAGTAGATGTAGTAGCTGGCGCATAGGTAGTTAGTATGGCAGTATAGCATTATGGCGCATGAATGAGATCCAGGCTCTGCACAATGGGACTATAAATGCTAGTGTGGGCAGTATGAGAAACGGCTTGTTGATATAGGATAAATGGTAAAGTTGCTCAATTGGGAGCCTAGGGCTTGACCCTAATTGAAATTAGTTCCGGATATTGGAAGAGTTACATACTAGCCTTGAGTTTGATTTAGGGATATGATAAATGTGTTTACTATACAAAGAAGTTTACTGATATTTAATGGATAGTTAGTTGTAAAGAAATTGCTATATTCTATCTGTGTGGCGGGGAGTCCCTCTATATACACAAAAGCGGGGTTATTAATTCATTTTATTGTTCTGTCTGAGTCTATGGCTATGTAGGACATGCAGGTCCTCTCTACCTACAGGCCAAGGATACCTATAGCAGTAGTAAATCCCCTCCTATGCCTCCCATACAGCTCCCCTCAAACAGTACCACCCCTCACAAGTCCTCATGCGATCATACACTTAGAGGAGCCCTTTGCCCTTCATCATCTCCCCTCTCCAGCCAACGAAACGATGGCCATTTGCAGGTCTATGGCAGCCGGGAAAATTCGCAAAAACCACTGGGTGCGGAGCTCTCCTAATACCGACATAAGGACTAAATCCGAAGACAAAGTGCCCCTTCTGAAGCGTTCGAAGAGGCCGGCCAGCTGGGCGCTGCAGACTTGTGTGTACCTTTCACGGATCCGTAATTAGAATTTTAATACTAATATTAATTCGTGATAAGATGAAGGGGTAGTTAATTAAAACCATCAATTTAAGAATAGCTTCCCCTGTTGGATAGACTACGGTGTGGTTTCACGATCGATCGTAATGATTCAGTAAAGAGTTGTACGATTCTATGTTGGTCTAAAATGTTCATAATTGTCTTGTCTACACTATACAGGATTCACAGCTTTACTGTGGATTCTGACTAGCGCCTCTGTGCTGAGGTCATCATGTGATCCCCACATCGTGACAAATCAACTTTTACGTTTTAGATAAACCGACATCCCCCATATAATTAGTCTTGTAAAAAGTCATGTGAGGATATACAAGAGAGTCATGAAGAGAAGGACAAGAACACAGCCATTAATGCAAAGATATTGGCAAGAATTGATTACGATTAATTCCAGCTGGCAAATGCTTCTACTCTGGTATATAATAGTTCAGCGTGAGAGAGATTTACTCCTCACGCAATGTCTTCTTTACTTATCATTTACAATACATTTGTTAACCCATCTCTTCTTCGGGAAGACCATCTATCCATTGCCCAGTTCTTCATCAGCAAGACCCACGTGTAACATCTACCGCAACTAGTTATCCATTCATCTCTTCCTAGAGAAGACCTGTCATCCCTTTGACCCATTTATTATCTTCACTTACCACCTAGATCTTCACTAGGCTATACAACGCACCCTGTGGAACACTGTCTAACCCTCATCCTTGAGAATACCTCGGGAAATTCACCCTCTGCCTTTCTAGCCTCCTTCCCGAAGGTCGTGCTGGAATGTCAGAAAAGTCTTGACAGAGCGTGATTGCAGAATAGTAGCTTAGCCCAACTTTCTTTGCGCCGTCCAGGGCGCTGGGGAGTGCCTTTGACTCATCGACCATTGAAGTCCTGGCTAATTAGCCGAAATCTTAGTCTTGGCGCCCACAAAAAATTCAAAGTTGAAAACCCCTCGAAAATGTCAGTACCAGAATGCTCTTCAGAGACCTGACCCCCCTCTCGCTCCACATCTCAGCAGCCTGTCCTTCCTCAAGATGATAACCCTATTAGGGCATCAGTCCTCCATAAACCAAGACCCCAACTTTGTAGATTATGACTTAATTTCCTCCTTGCAGGTATACGTAACGTCGTAAATTTTTAGTGAGTGATGGCCGGTAATGATTGAGGCAAGCTCCTGTTTGCCATTGGGGTGACGCCTTTATTGGTCGTCGAGGCGAGATGATATGCGGTTAGAAAGAAGATGGGGACTCAGAAGATAATGGTGAGTGCTGCATGATTGAGAAATCGGAGGGCAAGACTGAACACCTGCGCGCGGTGTCCTCCACGCGCCTGGGAGTGAAATATTCTCCCACAGCCAAGTTCAGTCAAATTTCGCAATATCAAAGAAGTTGGCCCACGAGGCAATGACTCGATTTACTCCTCCACGTCGATTTTTTCGCTCCCAACGTGTTAGACTCCTACCCAAGTCTCATCAAGTCTACAAGCAGGACCAAGTACATCCTCATCCCAATGACCACACCACTATACGCAATTCAAAACTGATATAAAAAAAAAAGATTGAGAAGTCGTCAAATGGAGATATGCATGTGTTCGCATGCAAGCGGGGTTCCCGCACACTAGTGTGAACTCCAACATACAGTGCCTCTACCGTGGTGCCACGATTTCAAGTTTTCAGTGGATTTATATGGGGCGCATATTCGCTACAGGGGCTGCACCCCTGTTAGTGTCAATTTCGGCAGGGCACATAATTCTTGTCCTGTATTTCCAGGCCTAAACCGACGACACAATTTGATTTTATGTCACCCTCAGTTTTATGCAAATCCAACCCGCTCTCTAGTTCTTTCCCATTGGTTTGATGAGCGCTAACCGCTAAAAAATTACACAGCTCCTCTCACCTTGTGCTTGAGTTACAATAAGAATTAGATTTCTCAAATACAAATTTATTTATTCAGAAGACACATGGCTTTACTCGATAATAACCTTATTTTACAGATCAATCCACCTCAAACCCCACCTTCAACATCTCGAATCAAACGATTATCCAGAGATCAAAACATTTTAGTAAGTAGAAAAATTATATATGAACAAATATAAATTAAAAGAAAAATTCAAATTTATGGGCTTCATGAATCTAGCAATAACCAGACGCAGATTGCCGCGCAACTAGGCATTTCTCGAGGACAAGTTAGTTATTCACTGCGCCGCGGAACTATCTTCCCAAAAAGAGAAAAAGAACATCCTCAAGGCTGAAAGCAGATGATGTTGATCAGATT